TCTTATTTGATAAATTCTTTAAAATTTATTTTTCATTAAATTCATTTTAATTATGTGTTATTTTAATAAAATAATTTCACTCATAAAAATTATACGCTTCAATAATTTATTTTCTAGAAATATCACTTTCACAAAATTCATTTTCAAAAAATTTACATCAAACAAGCATTCTTGAGTTTGGATTATTTTGGAAATAAAATATTTATCTAAAAAATTATTATTTTTTGGTCAAATTGACATTTTTTACCTAAATTTTGTTCAATACGCTATAAATGATATCATTCTTTAATCGAAAGGACACGAATCTTGTCAAATCTTGAGGCTCAATTTTGGACATGCAAACCAAGTCGGAATACAATGGGAGCAAATAGAATTTTTGTAAAATGGTGGAATGCATTAAAATGAAAAAGAATATTAGCTTCAAAAAGCGCTCTGTTAAATTGACACCAACAAAAGAATACAAAAGTAAGTGGATTGTACGAAAGAATATGTTTGTAAGAATGAAACTAAAAAGAATTGATATAGGATCGTACAAGATTACAAGTGCCGGTACGAGGGGTGAAGCATGTAGCTCATTCATGCAAAACAAAGAATCTTATTGGTGTTTGATATATATCTGAATCCTCTTAGAAGGTGGACATATTTTCAAGAACACGAGCATAGATAGTGTATGAATATCATGAATTGATGAAATAAGGTGTTGAGTCTTGGACGAACGCAACCCTCGTGTGTACTTCTTCTTGCCGTTGAGTTTTGGCTTCTTTAAGAAACTGTTGATGACTTACGATTCAGAAAAAAATATTTGATTTTTATGTATTATTTTGGTTCTTTTGAATTATCATGTCAACTTCATTTGATGGGTGCTTTTGTCGCGTCTAATCAAGAGTTTATGCTATATTAATAGAGTGATCAATGTTATAATGTTTATCAATTATTGTTACTTAATTGGTCAAAAAATGTATTTTAAAGAACAAATAAAATTTTGCACAAACTTCGCACAAACATTAAAGACTACCAATGAAAATTTTACATCTTCCATAATTTGTCTATTACTCTTTTGAGCTAAAGATTCCATGAATTAATATTATTCTCCTTTTGCTAAGTTGACATGTCTTTCAATTTCAATCCTACATTTCATCTTTTTGATGAATTGCAATAAATTTTATAAGATTTTTTTTTTTAATGGAATCTTGTGGTGTCACCTAGGTGTTCTGTACGTTATTTCAAAGTGTTTGCATTGCTAGTTTCTTGGTCGCTAACGTTTTCATGTTTGAAAAACTTTTTATAGGTTGTCACGTAGCTCCGTTTGCCCCCTATTAAATTATATTTAATTTTTCTTTCTTTTATTTTCAATCATAAAATAATATTACACGTAAATCGAAAAATTTTCCTTCTTTTTCAACTATTTATTTTCCAATAATACCATTCCATCCATTTCCATTTCAAAAAATGAGGCCAAACATTACATTCTACCACACAATCTTCTATAAAATAATATTATACGCAAATCGAAAATCGAAAATTTTTTAACTACTCATTTTCATTTCCACAAAATGGGGGCCAAACTGGCCTTAATAACATTCAAGAAAAGTCAAGGAAGTACACAAAGCAAATCCTTTAACAGAAATTTCTCCGTTATCAATAAATAGTTCACCAAGAAAAATGGATTAGAAAGTTCACCAATCAAAGTATTAATATGTGGCAAAAGTGCAACTCTACCATGTCAATTAAGGGGAGTCCATTTAATTATGTAGCTATAGTTAGTCCATGTCACAACTTAACGGTGTCACTTTGGATCTAGAGTCGTTAATTAATTTTTGCGACAATATAAGTAAGAAAATACTTTAGGGACCAAGTTGAAATTTTTCACAAACTTCATTGACTATCTGTGAAATCAAACCCCGCAAATTGTTTACTAATCTTTCCTTGCTAAAAATTCCACCAATTAATTCCACATTTTTGCACAGACTTCATTTGGCATTTCTTTCGATTTCAATCCCACATTTTTGAACTGCAATAAATTTTATGTGTTTTCTTGTATTTAATTTAAGAAGATCTTTGTGGGGCTATTTAACCGTTCTTAACGTTATATCAAAGTCTAGGTGGCTAATTCTTGATCTCACGTGTTTCCTTTCTAAAATTTTTGTTGAGTTGCCACGTAAGAACAATCTACAAAAGTCATTAAACTACACAAAGCAAATCTTGGAAGCGAGATTTTTCAAATATCGATAAATAGTTTAGCACCAAATTGATGGGCTTTAAGAAACTGTTGGTACCAAAGAAAGTTACCCAAAGGGGTTTAAAGATTTCCAAAGAAAAATAATTTTCACTTATCAAATCAAAGCCCGAAGAAGGAAAAACTTGATTTAATTCATTATTCGCTGCATGAGTTATACATCAGCAACAAAAGAACACAAATGTTCTTCTGTATTTATCTATCTAGGACGATGATGGTGATTTAAAATGGTGTTGAGGATCCGGTCCATCCGGCGCCACTCTCATTGTCCCTGCATCGAACATTAATGCCGCACGCCTTTTGTAATACTCTAATTTTGACACCTCAATCCCAAATTCATGTAGTGTAGGAAGAGGCATGATATTAGCCGTAGGTTCTTTCTCGGCCAAAAATACATTAGAAAGTCGAGCGTTTGAACTTGCTGTAAATATAGAAGCAATCATTAAACCCATAAACAAAACTCTTGCAGTCATCGAATAAGCAGACATAGTTCGCATTTTAAATGGAAAATTCAAAAGAGGAGAACGAAAAATGAGAGAAAATTTTCGAATATTCCTAAGTATTTATGTTAAAAATTGGAATAGAGCCCCATATTTATACAAACGGAACATACTAGGGACAAAATTACATGAGTAGGAATATTTTTAAGGCTGCCATAATGGGAATTGTTTAGACAGATAATTCCAAGAATCAGAAGTGTATTTTTGTCTTGTAATCAAGATTTGAGGGTACTTTCTATATTCTCTGTAATCTTCAAAAACTCCAAAAACACAATTTTAATGATGTTTCATATGTGTATCCGAGTAACAGTATGTGACCTATTGGTGCCTTATATATTCTCGGTTACTTTTAGTTAATTATCTAGTCATAATTTGTTCTTTAGTTTATTATTAAAACAAAGAAATTGATCCACAAATACATAAAGACAATGTAACATTTACTCCACCAATCAAGAAGAAAGTTTAGTGGAGTCTTTTCAAGTTTTCTTAATTTTTTGACATAAAAGTTGGAAACTTTGTTTTTGTGTTTTGTTTTTTTTTCATTTTGTTTAACTTTTTAAGTCTTTTTGTCTACACTTGACTATTGAAATGGCCTGAAAGAATGTCAAGATAAGAAATAGATTTTGTTGACCTCGTTTTTAGTTGGGGCAACGTGGACAACAGATACCGCTCCCACTTGTGTACACATAAGCAGATTTCGACATGTATGAATAGGATGCTAGTAGACAATACTCTGGATTAGGACATGGGAGATGATTTATAACATGAGACAAATATGTATGAGATTCAGCAATATACTTTCAAGTCGATTGTCAAATAGTATCCAATCGTCAACAATTTGAAGGAAGCAAAGTAATTTATCCTTAAGCTGAAACAAGTGTATATTCAGCAAGAAAGAAAACAAACAGTAGTTTTAAGTATGTTGCTTTGCATTAGTCCCTAAATGTTACATTGGGGTTATTTATAACATTACAAATGAAATGGTGGCAGTCGGATGGAAATACACGTGACCTCATCTCTTTAATCCAAGCGTCTAATTATAGGCATCAATTTTGACTAGCTACCCTATGGTGCACTCAATGTTTACACAGAGCCGCCACTTTGTTAACGAGACTCGACATTTATTCTCATTTCAAATGTCTCATCAATTATTCCAAAATGATTTCATTCATAAGTCCAGGATCTTTGTGTAGATAGTCGCTAGATGCAAGGGCTTCAAATTCCGGGAACCTTTTCGCCTCAAAGCCTCAACATCAGCGAAAGAGACGGGCCTTGGACTAATCTCTTTGGCCTTGTCACTTGTGTGGGAAGTTTCGTGGTCCAATACTTTGAGTGACTCGGCTGCTTGATCAAGAAGCCTCGGTAGGCTCCACGTGGATAAGAGAGCCCCGGTGACGTAAAGCCATGTGTGCCGAGACGTAAAAGATTCTATATTCAAATCTATCGAGTCTATGGTGTAAGAAAATACAAAAGAAGGATTGGAAGGAAGATGACGATAAACATATTTACACGTTGAGTACACGATAGCTCAAATCCATAAGTAAATGGTCGAGTTAGTTGGGAATGCTGTTTTTAATAAAATAATGTTACAAATTATTAGTAGAGCTTAACACCAATTTAGGACCTCTACGTGACAATTTAATTATACAATGAACCCCAACTTTATTAAATAAATGAAGGGTGGCCCTTTACTATTGCTTAAATGGGTGCTAAGCACCACTGGTGCCAGATACATTATTCATTAAGAAATAAGCCTTTCAAACAGGAAACATTTTTTTCTCAATTTAGCCGAAGAAAGGAGCCATCTAGAAATTTGTCAATACTAAAAGATAAGTGTTTAACATAATTTATGATAGACGAAGATTCAAGAATAAAAATATGTGTAAAACATACCATTTTTCTATAAGACAATTGACCAACACGTACAATATATGATACTTTCGTTGTTTTTTTGAGTCACAATATCTAGGTGAAATGTTTGATATTGATCCCTACCTCGAACACTTGTACAAAAAGAGAGGACGCAACAGTATCCATTTGGTAGAGTTCGTGTTTTTGCTTCTACTTCTTGTAGAAAAGTTTTCAAAGAAAACTACTTTAGATCAGCTTTCTCAAAAAACTCTTTTAGTCAAATAAAATATTTCCAAAAAATTATAAATAACTTCTTATTCTCAAAAATAATTTTTTCCTTTGAAAAAGTTTTTTTAATTGG